TGTTATCCCAATATACAATCCCCTACAGAATCCAGTTTTTTCTGAACTGAAGGTGTTGCTGGAACACCCTATCTCCTATTAACTACTTCTTGTTACATTTGTCTGCCTTTGAAGCATGACTTGCCTTTCTGTAGCAAACTCAGTCCAAGCCCTGTAGTTCCATTTCAGCCTGTTGCTGATGCAGCCAGAGTCCACTGCAGCGGCTTTGAAAGGCCTTAACTTTGAGGGGACGCTTTGCTGGGCATGTCCTTTGGATGACAACGATGTTGTTCCCCAGTAGGAGTTACTGCCTTGCTGTCTTGAGCCTGGGCTCGCTGCTCTGGGGTTGTGTTACTGATCATCTCTTTAAGCACCACTTTGTGTTTGAGCTCATTTTAAACATGTAAATGTGTCCTCAAAAATCGCACAGTGAGGCTAAAAGGTACTTCAGGAAAGCATTTAGTCCACGCCTGAGCCACACACACAATTCACTGTAGCTGTGTCATTCCTGACAGATACCTTGTGCATCCTCCCAAGCCTCCGAAGACGGGGGACCCACACCTCCCTGGCAATCTGTGCCAGTATTCCCTGTCCACACTGTTAGAAATCTTCACCAACGTCTAACCTGAATCCTTCCTACAGCCATTTAAACTTTTTTTCCTGACCTCTGCACGATGGACCAGGTCACGTCTTTCTTCTTTTCAAAGGACTTTCAAATCCGTAGGCTTTTTTATCACACTTCTGCTAAGATGGGCATTTTCCTTAGCTGAGCAACTTTGATTATTTGTTTTTCTTTCTGGTTATTCTTGTTGCTCTCCTCTAAATTCTGTTCCGTTTGTTTGGATACTTTTGAAGTAAAGTGGACAAATGAGACGTAATGCTTTGTCTTAGGTCTTACCTGGGCTGACTAAAGCAGAACTACATTATCTATCTAATCTGTTGCTACATCCCAGTACAATGTTTGCTGCTTTCACACAAGTATGGCATTGCTTACTCAGTTCTGTTTAATATCTCTTATAAAATGTGTTTCTTTTTCTGTGGAACTGCTGCTGAGACGCTTGTTTCCTACCCTGTCTCCATGTTGCTGATTCTGCCTGCCTCAGAAAAGCAGTCAGCACTGTCTGTGTCGCATAAGAGCGCTGTATTTTCTTCAGACCAGTGTCAAAACTATCAAGCTGTAAACTTATTCTCCAATGCAGATGCAGTCCCTCCCATGCTGAAGTCTCCTGCAGAATCAATCAGCGTACGTTCTGCTTCATCCTGTGTTAATATTTAATACTATCAGACGTTGTATATTCTTGAGAGCTCTGATCAAGACAGACCTCTGGTATCACTGCCAGTGCTTCACTGGTTATTGCTTTCAAAATCCACTTTTCCAACTGGCTTTGCACCTATTTTGTAAGAATTTAATCTGCCCTTTGCAGAAGAGATTTATCATACGAGATGGTGCCAAAGTATTACTAAAGGACTGAAGAACTACTGTTTCTTCCCCAGTCTATCTGTGCTCAGTCATGGGAAGAAATTAGAGTGGCATAATTTGTTCTCGATTCATATACATTACAGGTGACTCATCCCCCTGTTCTTTTCCAGGTGCTTACAAATGGACTTTTTCTAGGAAGACAAGTTAAGCTGATATGTCTATAAATGTTTTACTCCTCCCTTTCCCTATTTCTGTTTGCTGCTGCTGCCTTCCTTAGTCCCCAAGAGCTGTCAGAGGTGGCTGCCGATGGTTCTGAGATGACCGCAGCCCTGTTTAAGTTTCTGCAAGCTCTTCATGTTTCCTGCAGGAAATCCTGCAAACCCGGCCAATCTGAAAATAGCTGATGACCGCAGCCCTGTTTAAGTTTCTGCAAGCTCTTCATGTTTCCTGCAGGAAATCCTGCAAACCCAGCCAATCTGAAAATACCCGATTTACGTAATATTTTCTCATCCATTCTTTTGCTTTTTCAGGCTGAAATCTTACTCCTTTCACTCTACTGCTTGGGGTACTAGCCATCTGTCTGCCACTGATCTCTCAAATGAACGCTAATACAGAAGATAAGTCAGCTGCTTCTGGCCTTCTTGAATTATTTGTCAATAGATTCCCCTCTTTTGAGCAGTGGATCAACACTTTTCCTTCCTTTTGTTTTACTGTTCATGAACATGTGGAATAGTTTTTGTAGCTCCTGACATTTCTTGGTAGGCCTGCCTACCTTAGTTTTTCTAATTTTGCCTTTCATTATTGAAATTATTTTTTATACTTGCCTTTTGTAATCCCTTTCCTTTACCCCTTCTCTACATTTCCTTCTTGTATTTCAGTGAAGAGCTCTTTCTTTAGCTAAGGTGAGTCTTTACTACAACTTCTAGGTAGGATACACTGTATGTGTGGTTAGTAGCGCTTCATTAAGTACCATCCCTGGTTTAGTCCTTTTACCTTGCACTTGCTCCGGGTATTTCACAGAATCACAGAATCCCAGAACGTCAGGGATTGGAAGGGACCTCCAAAGCTCATCCAGTCCAATCCCCCTGCCAGAGCAGGAACACCCAGATGAGGTTACACAGGAAGGCGTCCAGGCGGGTTTTGAATGTCTGCAGAGAAGGAGACTCCACAACCTCTCTGGGCAGCCTGGGCCAGTGCTCTGATTTAGCTATCAGTATTCTGTTTATATAGGACTTTTTCTTCCTAGTCCATTGTTTCTACTCTGATGTCCTTACTCGCTTCTGTAAATTCTGACACTGGATCATTTGATGATCCCCTTCACCCCAATCACCTTCTGTCTTCGTGGCTGATCCTTCTGTGTTGGTCAGGAGCAAATACAGGCAAACAAGTTTTCCTGCTGCTTTCTGCAGATTCCTGTGCTGTGCCTTAGCTTTCACCTTGGGTGTTTTCTCTACTTTAGGGTTGAATCAGATTTCTTCTAAATGCTCTCTAATATTCCGTTTTGATTCGGATGGGAGATTTAGAGACAAATTCTCATCCATATTCAATTTTTTCAACTATTAGTTTTATGCATTTGTGTTGTAGCTTAACAGAAACTCTAAAGAACAGAAATGCGATTTGTTTTCACTACTCTGTTGCTGTAAAAGTCGCTTAAATTTTTGTCTTATGCACTTTATCTCTCCTTTGAAGTATATTCCTAACTAGAATTAAAAGATGGAGGGCCGATTGAGCATATTATGCTTTATTGATTTAAAAAAAGATTTGAAGAATATAGAATTTTAAAATCGTTTTCATAATGACTTTAATGCCAATTTAGCCAACCGCTTAAGTATATATTTACCTTCAGTCCCATTGAACTTGATGACGACTTGAAATCCTTTTAGAAGAAAATGGAAGTAAAAATTATCGATACTTAGAGTGATATCTCTGACTTCATTATTAATATGCCTGTTTGAAACTGTTATTCGGTGGCATAGTTTGCATTAGAGGTGTCTTTTGTAAGATTATTGCTGTTCTTAGCATCCTTTAACTGCAAATGTTGACTATCTAAAGCCTTTTCCACACAGTTCCAGAAACCAAGAAATATTGAGGGATGTTCTACGGCTGTTCTAGTGGGACAAAAATGTTGATAACTTAAATGAGTCCTGGAGAGATTGTTGACTTATTGAAGAGAAAAATCAGGAATCCCAATTTAGTTGTATTGATTTACCTTTTCAGAGACTTCATGTGAGGTATGAGTAGAAATGAAAAACCATTTGCATTGTTTTCCATACGCAGGCCTCTCTGCAAAGATTACCTTATCTTTATTGATTTCCATCACATGCTCCCCTCATTTTCCCCTTCCCAGCTGATCTGTAGTCTCCTGGTGCATTCGTAGCTCCTAGCACTATTTGATTACTACAAGGACTTTGTCACATCATTACGATCCTGTGGAAGCTAATGAACAGATGCCCAGCTTTAGAAACTGATACCCAGGAACCCAGCCGTACATGGTGTGTGTTTCAGCATACTGCCAGCCTGGCTGTCCTGCCTTTGCTGTATGAGTGTAAGGGACCCATGGCTGCCATAGGCTGAGGTGCAAGGTTCTGCTCTTGTGGGAATTCTGGTTTTGGTGAGATCTGCCCTGTCAGCAAGCCACAGTGCCAGCCACATCCAGCCGTTGTGTCATGTCTCCTGACATTTCACAGTTGGTCCATGCTGTTAACTGCCAGTCCCAACAAAGAAAAACATCTTCCCATCATTCTGAAGTGGCTGCTGAAGTTCAGTTTTGTTCTCCTCCGTCTTCATGTCTACTGTCCTTTAACCTTCTGCTTTCCTTTTTCCTCTGTGCTGTGCCATGTGCTTCCTGTCACCCCTCTCCTTTCACTTATTCACTCCGTGCCTGTTTTCCCATTTCTCTCATCCTCTTCTCTGTTTCTCTTTTGTGTAGCCCTCTCTGGTAGCCTTCCCTTTCGCTCTTCCCTTTGCAGAACCAAGTCACCTGCTTTCCTCTTTTCTTTTTCCTTCACCAGCCCCTTTATGAAAGTCCTCACCCAGGACTCTGCGAGTGGCCGGTGTGCTCATGCATTTCAGAGAGCGGCTATGAAGGGCTTGCCAGCCAGGCCCGATGATGGTTTAGAAAACACAGATAGTGGGAGCAGAGCTTTTTCTTCCTTCCTGTTTCTTGTGCTGTGCTATAAGGGAGAAGAGAGCTGAACAGAAAAAGGTGCTGAAGGAGGAGAGAGTTTCCGTGGTGGGGGACTGAATGGCGGAGGAATGCTGTTGTGCCCACTGCGGGTTGAGAGCAGCAAGCGGAAGAGCTGGATCTGGTGTGATGTTTGACCATTGCACGCTTCATTAGCACTCTAGAAAGTTGAGCAAGCATTTGTTATTCACCTTCACATGCCATGTCACTGTTTTAGTTTGCTTAGAATTAAGAGCCAAGTTTGTTTTCAGGATGTCTCCAGCAAGCTTTTTCCACTCAAGTCCCCTGGGCAGAGCTTGGACTTACATGTCATTCTTTCTTTTTTACAGCTTCTTAGTTCAGTTTTTTTATTTTAGCCTTTCTTTTATTTTAATGCTCAACCTTTAAAAATGTATTTCGTTTCATTTTATTTTTCAGACACTTCTTATTGAACCTCACATCCCACATCGTCCCACTAAAACCATTACACAGGTAATAGGACATAGGTATGCTGTAGAGCCAGGCTGCTAGACAAGTGGAAATAACTCCTATTTCCAACGGTGTGATGCGTATCAGCTGAAGTGTTGTTTTCTGTTAGATGGATAAGTATGTGAGACTTACAAAATCCCAAATATATGCTACATTGCTCTGCAAAAGTAAGCATCTGTGCAAGGACTTTTAATTTAGGGAAAAGAGAACTTGTGCTTTGTTTTGCAGAAGGCAGTACAGAAATTGTGGAAAGTTTAAAATCTGTGTGTCTTGGTCCCTTTTTTTTTCTCCATGATCGCCAAGGTTCCTTCAGAAAAGATCCTCAGAGCTGGAAAGATTTTGCGGAATACAATTCTGTCCCGAGCCCCTCACATGATAAGAGATCGTAAATACCATCTGAAGACTTACAGGTGTGTGAGCTGATTGTATAGAGGTCTCTGAATTTTTATGCCTGCCAACCTCTGATTTGTGATTTATGCCTTACCATACTTGCAGGTCTCAAAAGGTCTGAAATTATTCTGTGATGCTATTTGAGTCTGGATGTTATGCAGTCTTTAATGGGCCTGGTAAATCTTTTCTGAAGTAATTTGACTGGAAATTGAGTCCACGATGGTGAACAGAGCATTCACATACAAAAACTCTTCCAGAGTTAATAGCACAGTTAGCTGGAATATTCTGGGCAGTATCAAGTTAAGCTGTTGATTCTGTTCTCTTTGTGCATCAGCAAGAGCTAATAGCAAAGTTCATTAATATATTATGTTACTGAACGGATTGCTACAGCGGTGTAGCTCAGTGTGGAGTTCTGAAAATTCACCTGGTGAGAAACATTCCTTATGTAGATTTTCTGCTCTATTTAAATTTTTTTTCGGTGTATTGCCAGGCTTTCTTATCTTCCTGCTGGTGGCAGCACTGTCTTGCCGAAGTGGGATAACAATGGCACTTGTAGAATAGGAAGCAGACTTCAAGGAGTCAGGATCTATCTACTGGCTTAAGAGGCAATCAATTTGTTTTAGTGTCTGATGTTTAAATCAAATACATAATGCATTATTCAGAGTATATTTAAAGAAAAATTGTTTTAAAATATCTGACTATGTCTTTTTCTAAATAGTAAATCAATATGATGCTGATCTGCTTTAGAGGGAAGTGCATTGATTTTCGATATTTCAGGCCAAAATGTATTCAATATGACGCAAGGTATTTGGAGCTTGTGAGTTGGTCTGAAAATATATCACGATATGACATTGCTTATTGTTCTAGAAGAACAAAAGAGCATGTGTGTTAAATTAAGTCCAAACAGCTGGACCGTTTTATCTTATACATAACGGGGAAAAACTCTTACTGTTATATCCTTGGGTTTTTTAAATACGGAATCCCAAAATTTAGATTGGATCCAGGTCAGGGAAAGTTTTGTCATCGAAATGGGATTTTAATTGGAAGAGCATTATTCAAGCTAAATTTCAGCAGTTTCAGTATTATCTGTTTCCTTGATCTCTGCAAGTGATGCATGAAGTGCGGAGCCATGAGAGCCTGTCTGTAAGGGTTAGCCAGTTTCCTCTCTGATCTGCCTGCAATCAGTTCTAGATTTGTAAGCTTGTGATCACACTGCTTATTTGCTTCCGTTCTGCTGAGCTAGGGAGTGCAATGACAAAGAATTTTACTTGGTGACCAGGTGGCTTTTTGGTTTCCCCTCCCTCTTTGGGCTTTCTCCAGAACTTGAGGCCTGTTGTTGTCTGCCTCTGGGTCACTCAGGAGCTGCAAAGTGGCCAGCATCTGGCATGAGAGAGCCTCAGAAACACTGTAGACCTATAAACCAGTGCCTCCAAATACAGTGTGGCTGGTGTTTGGTTACAAATGAAGGAACACCTTCATAACACTCGCTTTTCCTGTGGAGGCTGTTCTCATTGGCAAAGCTCTTACAGTGTTAGATGATTGTTTGCATGCAGGAGTCTGAAAAGCGTGAGGTTTTTGCTATACCATGGCACACAAAGGAGGTTTCCTTTGAAATCTGGGTTAGATTGCATGGGTGCAAGAGGTTTTGTACCAGGTGGCATAGGCTCACTCTGATCCTCTGAACTTTGCATTTCCCAAAACACTTGTTCTGCTGAGGTGATCTTTTCAAAACTGAACACCACTGGTATTTCAAGCATATACATACGGATGGTGATGTGTTTTCTGTAGGAAGATTTAACTTAGGTCATAGAGAGTTTAAGATACCACTGTTCTTGGCAAACACCGCGTGTGATCTCTCTCTTGGCTAGCTCCCTTGTCATTTCTGTTCATTTGTCCTTCAGGCAGTGCTGTGTGGGGACAGAGCTGGTTGACTGGATGATGCAGCAAAGTCCTTGTGTCCATTCACGAAGCCAGGCTGTTGGCATGTGGCAAGTATTGCTGGAAGAAGGTGTTCTTAACCATGGTAAGATAAAGAAAATGGTAATCTTGACTAAGACATGGGCAATGCGTGACATCAGTTCGACTACAGATCTCTTACATGTAAAAGAAAGGGATCATGAGCCCAAAAGAAGTGCATTTTCAAGTGCAAGTGCAACACACAGTATTATATGAATCTTGCTACCAATATACCTTTTTAACATATGAGAATATTGAAAAGTAAATGAACACTTTATAATGATAACTTTAATTACACTTAGGAGTATGCTGGCTTGTGATGATATTGCAAGAGCTGTATAACACTCAGGACAAAACCAAGAGCTGTATTACCATACACAAAACTGATCTTCAGAGATTTGCAGCATTTGGAAGTGAATGTGAGCGTTTGTGTTTGCTCAGATCCATAGTTTTGGAATGATTTTCAGTGGTGTTGGAATGGTTCCAAAATGCAGAACTTCAAATATTCCAGAGATCTGGGATTTTCTGTTAATTTTCTGACTGTATTTTACATTGACGTGCAGTTTCCACTTGGCAGGATTTACTTGGTAATGGGATATTACAGCACTTAAAAGGGTAGCTTTCTAAAGCAATATTCACATTTGAAACTTTGCATGTATTAAGTTCAGAAGAGCAGCTCTATTACAGTACACTTCCATTTGTCCTCTGTTGTGCTTCCCATATCCCAGAGAGAAATTTCCACACTAAGACAGATTGTTTTCAGTGTTTCCCTACCCTTAGTGCTCTAGCTTTAATTCCTGCCAAATACTTCCTTGAACTCCCAGGGGCAAGCTGTTCCAAGCTGCACCACAGTATCCAACTCAACACATCACTCTGACTTGCTCGGAAGACCGAGCGTTCGTCCTTCGCCATATCATATCCTCTCTTTAGAAGTCTCTTGGTGGTAGTCTTTCCATTAAGCTCTTCGAGCAGGACACAGGTCAATGAACTTGCCCTTGGGATTATGTCTTGGTGATGTACATTTCTGGTGCATCAGAAGAGTTTAGTTACCCTTTAGCCGTGTCTGAAACACGTAGGGCACAGTGCTCATGCTAGAGAACACCTCTTAGAAATGAAGGATGTAACCATTCCTCCACCGTGAATTGTTTGTTTAAGTGAAATGGTTTGAAATGGTAGGAATAAAAGCAGACCTAATAAGAAGACACACCCACAACACACATATATAGAAGCCCTTTGGAATGTATTTATAGTGCACCATTTAAAAGTGTCCCCTTAAAGCTACATAATTTGGACACATGTGAGAAATAAAGGGGTTTCATACTCTTGTAGTTTCTCTGTAGATTTCTTTCCCTTCTTAAATAATATATCTGTCCCATATACAGTGCTACATAGATTTCTATAAGGTTAACTTCAATGAAAGAAAGCTTAGTGTTTGATATTTTGTGTTCTTTTCAGTGGATCAGGAACACCACTTTCAAGACAAATACTTATTTTATCGGTTTTTGGATGATGAGCATGAAGATGCCCCTTTGCCAACTGAGGAAGAGAAAAAGGAGTGTGATGAGGAGCTACAGGATACTATGCTGCTTCTGTCTCAGATTGGGCCAGATGCTCATATGAGGATGATTCTCAGAAAACCGTAAGCAGATTAATGAGTTAACTGGTACATGGGCCTTCCTCATGGCATGTAAACAAGAGAAGTCTACATTTATTATCACGCATCCTTCAGTATCGGTTTGTTCAACCTCTAAAGTCTTAAAGTCACTATTAAGTCATTTTCAGTCCTTACTAATGCTTCTAAGTTGAGCTGTGCATTGACAATAACCATCAAAGGCCATAAATGTCATCATACTCACCTTGAGAAAAATGCTGCATTATGAGTTTTGATTTCACTTCCGAGTCTCCTCAAAAGTAAGTTGCAGGTAATAGAAGAGTCCTGCTCTGTTAACATCTCCTGTGTAGACATGCTTTTGAATCGACTGTACTGCTTTCAGTTATTGCGAGTGAGTAAAGTGGTGGGATGGCAGCACAGCAGGTACCTTTCAATTACTGTTGTCAATGGTAGCCATTAATTAGATTAATCCTGGGTAGAAATTTATTGAATTAAGATAGGCTGGACTTGGCCTGTTGCAGTTTACCACTAAGGTGTGACGTGTGGCTCTGTGGGTTTATTTATCCATTCTTACTGGTATAAAATAAATACATTTTTTTAAAATGCTTTCTGTACCTAGACCACGGTGGATGTCTGCCCAACCTTTTCACAGCTATCAGATTATGTCCTCTCACTCATTGACTCGCTAACCGTCCTTTGACTGTCAGCAATACATTCTGGTCACGCTGAAAACTGTGCTGAAGGCTTTTTTTACATGCAGCTTTATAGTGACTTCAAAGCAACCACTGTAAACTCTGTCTGACCCTTCATTGAAGGCAACCTCTTCATTATGCAGGTAGTGTTTAGGGGCCACTGAAGACATATTTTACTGCTAATTAAGCTCAGTGAGAATAACGAATTACTTCAGGTCATCTTCACTGGAGATTTACTTACAAGGGTCAGTTCAAGAAAGGTAAGTACACAAAGCTGGATCCTGCCCCTTTGAGGCCATTGGCAAAGTTTGCCTTTGCTGTGGGATAGGGTTGGGCCCTGCCTACAGTGTGAAAACGTTTTTGATACTAAAGGTGTTTTGAAACCACTTAACACAAGTGCTTGCTCCTGTTCTATTTCTGTCTGTATCCTTTCCCCACTCCATTCTTTTCCCTGTGTTGTCTGTTTAGATCGTAAGCTCATTTAGACGGCACTCTTCCAAAAACTTGTTAAAAGCACTGAATTTCAAAAAGTGCCATCAGTTACTTGTACTTTTAAAAACAGGTAACACTGCCATGCAGCAATAGTTTTTAAAGTATGAATTGTCTTTCCTCTGTTTATTAGAGGTCTAATCAAACACAAACAGAGGAGCACTCACTCCCTGTCACACAAAATACATGGACAAACCAGACTGGAAGCATGGTGCTTCCATAAACCCTGATGGTGTCAGGGAATCGAGGTGTTTTTTCATCACAGAGATGTCCTGTGCATTCTCCACTGAGCAGCAAAAGAGGGCTGCTTGTGCCCATGAGGAGACGCCAGTCATTAGGAGACAGTAAGCAGTGTAGTGTGCTGTGCCCCTGCACCTCTGCACTATCTCCTTTGCCTCAGGCAGACCAAGCGGGTTGGCTCTTGGAAAATTGCCCCCTTCGGTTATCATGGGCTTTGGCTGCCGACTGCATTTGCTTCCCATCATGACTTTCAGAGCAGCCAGTGTAAATCTACCCTGGCAGAATCAATGTTGATTATCACCGCGCTCCTTGCAGAGAGCTGAAGGGCTGGAATGATGCTGTGGAAAGTGCTGCTCTCCCCTCTGTGTCGTCACTTGCACAGCATCACCTGAAAGCATATTCATAGGGGATTTTTCATGCAGTATAGTGAGGGGAAAGAGGTTTTCCCAAGACTGACAGCTGTCTGACATCTTTCCCTGTCTCCATCTTCAAGGTGCTTATTTTTGCTGCCCTTTGCTCATGGAAGCAAGCTCGTACTGTCAGGCACCATATTAACTACTGTTCTCGTATTCAGTTTACATACGTTATGATTTTGTTAGTTGAAAATCCACCCTGGGCTGAGCTGTAGCAAAGCTGTTAAAATCTCCATGAATCCTCAGAGGCCTGCTAGTTTTGACTAGACACTGTTACAGCTGCCAGAAGTTCAAGGAATTGTCAGGGCTTTACAGACACTGGCTTTAGCTGACCTGAGAAGGACCCACAATTTTCCAACCAACGCAGCTGCATTTTATAATGGTCACCATTTCTGGAGGGGTTGCAGGACTCAGATAATTACCCTGAAAGAAATAAGACAATATTCTTTGATGAGAAGATTACTTTGAGAATTTGATTGTATAATGAAGCTGTTGCTTTGAAAGGTACTTTCTATTGTTCAAAATCTGAAAATCTCTAGCAAAAAGTGTCACTTGTTTTGACAGCCGACTTAAAAAATTCTCTGTTTATTACATTAACTGCAGCATTTTAACTGTCAAACTGTGAAAGAATGTTCTATAGTTTAAAAAACAGAATAGAGCTCAGGGAAATTTTTGGCAGGCTCTTGTTGCTATTGGGTGGTTTTTTTTCCCTTTGGAAACACATACAGTGCGAATGTGAAAATAGCTTTTTGTGGAGTGGCAAACACAGCTCTCTGCTACTTATAATGCCTGGAGCACGGCTGCAGACCTTGAGTAAGTCCTTAAAAAAATAATGCAGAATTAACACAGCTTTTCCTCACAAGTGTTGCAGTCAGTCAGTATGATAATACATCCCGAAAACATTTTTTCTACTTATTTTTGTTTCATTTTAATGGTGTTCAGGTATAGCTAACTTGATGATAAACCCTAATTAAATAGGATGCTATAATACAAAGCTAAACAGAATAATAACAGGAGTCTTTAAAGGGAAGATTACATTCATCAGACAGCGGTGTTTAACTCAGATGATGTTATTTTTTAATACTCCAGACTGCAGTAAGTTAGCAGTATGACTGGAACAATAAATCTGTGTTGCATATTCTTGGTGGCTTCACTCAGCAATTTTTTTTCCCTAGCACAAAGAGTGTTTGATTCCACATGTGATCAGTAATCAGATCTTGCTGTCAGTTGCAGAAGCAAGCTCAACAGAACGCTAGGGAGAGGAGATGAAGACAAATCTAAACGTGGTAAACAGCACAAAATAGGTATCTAATAAAATAACAATTTAATTATTGCTAAAAATCTCTAGCTTCTTGAAGGTCTTGTAAAAATTAAGCAACATGTATTCTCTTGTTCTTAAAAGTTTTTAAGTAGATATTCCACCCACCTGGTAGTAGTGAGAACCATACTGGATTTCTCCATAAAGACTGTATTAAGTTCCATAGCCCTTGGTGGAGTTTCCTGCCAACAGCATTTAGTAAACCAGGTATTATTCCTGGGACAGAAAATACAGATTATCTTCCCACGTATCTGTTCACTGATGTTTGCAGGTATTGAGTGTGGTAAATGGTATTTATGGAGTTAATCAAGGAGCGCTGATTCAAGTACAAAGATGACATCATTAGCTGCTGTGCTGCAGTAGGTGAACGTGCATTCACTTGCACACTCAGGCACAGGCAATGGGTAAAATGTTTCATATCTTCCATATATTCTGTATGGTACGTGAAGACAAAATTTGCACTTTGGAAATACATAGAATTACAATGTTACGGGGTCTCTGATTTTTTCCCTTGTTCTTACTATCTGAGAATTTTCTGGTTAGCTGTGTAATAAAAATAATTATATTGCTCGTGTTACATGGTTTACCAATGGCAAAATACTATGTTATTGTCAACATCCTAGTCACAGAGAAGCTCAGTGTCTCCGACCTTGGTAAATTCTCCAAACACTGAACAGTTTTTATTGATCACTTAATATCACCTGAGTTCTCCTGTCCATTAATGTGCAGCCTTGTTCTCTGCCTATTCCATTTATTATCCTGTCTATAACCAGCTATTGCTGTTAGAATGTGTCCCCTGCAGAAACTAGGTCTTTACACAGCAGGATCCTACAAATCAACATCAGTGGGTCACCACACAGGTTTTACAGAAGCAGTAATGCCTAATATCTCTCCACGTGACATCTGCAGAAGTAAAGACTGGGTACACCCACTGTAGATTGCCAGTCCTCCCAGTGTGCTAACGCAGGAGGTAAATAGACATACTGAAAGAAGAGTGTACCCTTTCGTCTTGATAGAGATCTGGTGTAGTAAGACATCATCCTTTTATGTTTCAATTTCATGTAGAAATTTGTTAGACTACGGTCTCCCATTTTACAAGACGCGCTGGTTTTGCAAGCAGGTAATAAAATTAAAGTTGTTCCATCCTATGGAAAGTACGATTTGTTAAAATCCTTACCTTGTGTTTCTTAAATCTCCAGTGAAAGGTCGCTAGTACTGGCTTAGCTTTATTCTGTACTTAATGAAGCTGCTGCTGCCTCACAGAAATCACTAGGAGTGGCAGCCTTGTAATTTCCAGCCGGGTTTAGAGAGAGTAAGGAGTATTTGGAGTCACTAGGGGGCACAGCAGCACCAAAGCAGAGAGCTGCTGTTTCTCCCTTAACAGTTTATTCCATTCCGTATGAGAAAAGAGTAATTTCATCCAAAACGTGGGTTTTTTTGGTCTAAATTGGTCTTTAATGTGGGTAATAATAAATGCATGTCATTGGCAAGTGAAGAACAGAGGAAAATTACAGCTTGCCTCGCAGAGATGGTGTCAGTTGTCCTTATGTTTTCTACAGCTTCTTCAGTTCTTCCTTCATCCAGAAGGAGTCTCTGTCAAACTTCTTTTGGAAGAAGATGCATCATAACTCCAGCGTGACGCAAGTGCTGGGTACTCTCTCTACCTCACACAGGATTTAGACAGACCATTGAAACAAGAGGCGATAAGGCAGAAAACCTGTAGAGCGTTCTGTTTCTTTATATGACTTTCCTCATCCTCTGGATGCTAGGATCTCCTGTAATAATGACATCTTAGAAGGAAAACTTCTTTCAGAAAGGTTCATTGTGACATTTCTTTTAGGGGTGTCCAAAGGTTCAACCCTGCTGTTGCAGAGGGTGGGGTTTGGAACTGTGCCCCAGCCTGGGTGTAAACCTTCTCCTTTGAGACTCCTGCCCCTAGACTGGACTTCCTGAGTCCCATTTCCTCACATCTTAAATTTATCCTCTGTCCTTTCTCATGACTAGGTTGCTGTTTTGTGCTGTTCTTGGCCCATTGATTTAATTACTTATATTTTGCTTTTCACTAATGTAAAACATATTTTTGAGAGGACCTAGTCCTATAAAACTAACTTAGGATAATGCTTTAAACGACTTTTTCTGTGTGTATGTAACTCCAATGCGCCGTCTGAAATTATATCACAGGAGAATTTGTCCCTTTAGAAAATAAAGTTGTATTAGACACTTTAACTGAAGAGAATCTTGTGAGGGGGAAAAAGATTAGGACTTACTCACAATCTCCTACAATTCCTTCTCACGAGCACTGTTTATTAGGTCCTCCAAAGCATCTCTGACACACGGCAGTCCTCAGAGTATTTTTTATGTCCTTTTTTTAGCAACCAGAAAAATATCCAGTGTGTAGACTACAGAAATGCACTGATTTCAAGTCATAGTGGCAGCCTCATTCCTTGTTGTGCTGTAGGAGGATTATACCTTCAATGCCTGCTTTTTATTAATGGCAGTTTCTTGTATTTTGAGTTAAGCCATTGAGGGTGGTTCTTATTTACCTTTGTGGCGAAACAACAGCACTCAGCATTAACTCTATAGCAGCCATTTACTGCCCTTCAAGATACACTGCTGCCTCTTCCAGTTTGTTCCACAGAAATTCGTGCACTCCTTTACAAACAGCTCCTCCTGTATGTTTGCTACAACCGATTAGTGCTGCAGTGTGTGAAAAACAGTGCAGGTCCTGCACTTGGGAGTCCTTTTGAAAGGAACAGATCTCTGTGTACCATTTCTGACTTATCTCACCATTTTACGTATAGAATACTTGATTTCATCAGGAAAGCTGCCTACCCAGGATCTTGCTAAGGTGGTTGCCATGGCTGCTGCTCGGTGTCATTCGGGTGGTTTCATAGCACTTCCATCCTTTGTGTGTTTCAGCCCTCCAGCCAGAACCATCATTCAGTCCCTGTTTAGTGAGGATGTACCCTTCAGTGGACAGTACAACAGCGTTTTGTGTTGGTTTGTACTTCTCCAAAACATTTATTTTGGGCATTTATTGCATTTTGCTCTTCTGTTTATCTTCTTTCTATAGGCCTGGCCAGAGAACTATAGATGACTTAGAAATTATATATGAAGAACTCCTTCACATTAAGGCCTTATCTCATCTTTCCACCACGGTAAGTAGTTTAAAAAATATAACTCATCACCAAAAGGGATGTTAAATTTTGACTTCTGGTGCTTTATTAGAACTGAAGCACCTACAACCCTTTCCATTTACACTTTCCACTCAAAGAAGTTATTCCCACCTGTGAGGACCAGCCAAGCACTGTGTGGATGCAGGTTGTCTTTTGGATATCAGATATAATGGTCTTCATGAGTTTCTGCACAGTCCCTACCTCACTCACTTGGCACAGGTGCCTCCGTCTGGGTCCATACCTGCATTTAAATTAAGAGGCATGCAATCTAACCTGGCACCTGGGACTGTGGCACTACTGATTTTTGCAGAACAGCTGTTTAATTCCTGCACTATAAGAAGTCTTGACTTGATCCAGTTTAGGAGGAGGGATTACACAGTTCAGAAAGGTGTGCTGTGCAGTGCTGGCTGGTTGGCGTTTGGTCCTAGAGTAGAGGAAACTTCACATCAGTCACCTCCTCTCTGAGTGGGCAAGAACAGTGCAAAGAACCAAGAAGAAATGAAATGGAGAAAATGCCTGGAGGAGAGAATGCAACTGTTTAAAAGTCTCACCACCATTGACACACTGTGTAGGCAACTGAAATAAGCTAAATAGCACTTTACTTGGGAGCAGCAAGATGTGGGTGCTTTCAGAAAAAGAAAGCCAGTCCAAAAGTAGATTTATATTTGACAGCAGCTTCTTTGGAAGCTCTTAATATTTTCAGTAATTCTCAGCTAACTTGGACAAATGCAGCTAATTATGAAGCTGCATTACAGAAAGATAGTGTTCTGTGCAAACATAAAACATCTGAGCAGTGTTTTTCAATAAGAATGCGCATCCAGAGTTGGAAACTGAACTAAGAGGGAACAGCCTGTCCTAAGCATCTCTGGGATACAGGAAAGATGTATGTAAAGAAAGACTTCTGTAAGATCCAGAACTGACCATTTTCAAATCAAACAACAGAACTACCTAGGACAGACAGATACTGGGAGGGGGTGGAGAACACTCTTGACACTACAGACATAACCCAGAACAAGAAAATACTTCCAGCTCAGAAGAAATGCAGACATGAGGTCAGAATCCAAGCAGCATGTAGAGCAAGTATGGCAAATGGTACAGACTGCAAGAAATACTTGGCATTTTGAAGAAGTGCAGTTGATTCCATGCTCTTAGTAAGTATTTGGAAATGCCAGCCTATGATGTGCAGCCTGAACTAAAGCAGAGGACAGAAACCATGACTAGCTTAGTGGAATTTCTCAGAGGAGCAACAGACATCATTGCTCCTATGAACCAGAAGATTCACGGTCAATTAACTTTAAAGCAAATGGAATGTTTATTCATTTTAAGGAAGGTATAATTCCTAAAGCAGTAAGTTTTCTAGATATGCCACAAGCAGCAGGAAGTAAAAGGGATAAAACTCTAAGTCTCATGGTGGTGAACTAGTCCCTGCCAGAGAAGCCTGTGAAGTTAATGTGTGAATGAAAAACAATTCTATAATACAGTGTTAAAACCAAATCAAATTCTTGGCGTCATCAAGAGGATTCATTCACTGCAGAAGCAAATGACTGAAACAACTGAGGAGACATCTGAGGGCGTACGTGGATACAAACGCTCTCTACAGTGCGCAGAATGTGTTTCCTGTCCTTATGAAAGTGTCATTGCCTTCAGGCAGTGGTTATAAAAGAGTTTGGTGAGCAAATTGTTATAGAAGTCACCAGTCTATGGGTGCATTCACTGGTCAGTGTGCTAAAAAAATCCTGCCCCAGCACCTCTTCTCCAGACTGCAACCAGGGAGTATTTTGCACTGGCTGTCAGGAAAGAGTTCTAGGAGAGGTGGCTGGTGTGGTACATTTATGATTGTGTCCAGAATCTGAGAGTTCCTCTCTGAGTTTTTCTTCATGGCATAAAATTTTTTTCAATTTAAACAATTAGGAGAATGATGTGTAAATGCCATTACTAAACGTATGTTGGATCCAGCTTTTGATCTGTATTTGGCACGGTTAAGTTACAGGGTAGTAAGCTCTACCTCTGAGACATGGACTGTCACCAGCTGACATTTTCTGAAAACAGGAATCCCACTGCTTGGAAATTGGCCTCCAAGTCCTTGGAGACTTGCAGTTGTATTAAGAGAGACATGCAGCACAATGCAGGTAAATGTGAGGTTCTCGATGCTGCTGCTGTTTTGTGAAAGTAACACCAACAGTGTGCACTGTGAGAAGAAGCAGCTGTAAACACTGTCTCAGTAGAGGCAACTGCCCAGTCAGTCGTAAGAGCTAATCACACCAGAGCAGCACAAAGCCAGGCTGACAACAATGGCAGCGTCATGTTCTCCCGATTCTGGAAGAGGCACGAGCTGGACATTTTGCCTGGGAGGCTGTCAGGCAGAGAGGGGCCTCAGCAGGCCCAGATGGCTGCGCCTCACAGCTCCACCCAGCAGAAGTGGCCAGGCTTATGTCAGCAAGGGCAAAGGTACTGATTTCTCAGGGAAGAACAGGAGTACCACAGACCCCATGGAGTAATTAACAATTGCTAGCTGTCTTTTGTACTAGATTAGCTATTACCATTTGAAAATTTCCATCACGTTAATGTTAATTGTTGATGGTTTCACATGTGTGTATGAAGAAAGATGTGGAGACGTTTCTCTTAAAGATGATGCCCTTGTCTGAGCCATTTGGAGCCAGGAAATGTAGAGGGTCGTGTTCTGTGAAGCCAGTCAGTAGGAAATAGGACGTCGAGTGAAGCAGGTCATTGTCTGGCTGTGTGACTGCATGAGTGCCGAATGATGGAGAGGGAAGGAGAGCAGCGACTGAGGCATGGTATGTGACTTCCTTTCACCAGGAAGAATAAGATGCATATAAAAACTGTGATTTCTCTCTCTTTATTTTACAGGTAAAGCGAGAATTAGCAGGTGTCCTCATTTTTGAGTCACATCCCAAAGCAGGAACGGTCTGTAAGTAAATGGAGTCCTGTCAGATCTTCTTTCTCATCTGTGGCATAAACATTATTAATGTTTAAACGAGAGAAAAACTTGGATGCACTCTTCAAACCTAACTGGCATTAAGTGTTCAAAACCTGGGGTGATAGATGTTGGCTTAGTCGGTTGCCAGTTGCAGCAAAGTCGTACCAAAATTAATGTTGTATCCTTGGCTGCTTGTGTGTATTGCCTACAATTTGGGTGTGTTTTTATCTAGAATTTTGCGTTGGACCGATCTCTATTTAAAATGTATTTTAATATTATCCTTGTATTTAAAAAAAAAAAATCTTGCTGCACGAAATAAAGGATTTAAAATGTTGAATTACTCAAACCTTTGTATACTGAGAAATTGTAGCAAATGAATGTCAAATTCACAGCCACCAGAGAATTGGGTTAGAACGTGGTGCTATTGGTGGCATCTAAATCTGTGTACTGATCAGTAACTGATAACCTGACTTGTACTGATAAAGCAGTTGCTGCAATTGTCATGGAAAATAAAAGCAACCTTCACATCAGTGTAATAAAAAACCTACTATATGGATGTGGGTTTTCTTTTCTAAAATCTGAAGGCATTGCTTTAAAAACCACAGTATGCCCTTTCTCAAGGGAGACATTCGTATGGCTGCAGCAGGGTTACCTTGAACTTTATTGGGTGCAGAATCTGGCCCATTTATATTTTGAATAACTTTATTCTCACCATAAAATCTTTTCTCTCTCTTGTAGTATTTAATCAGGGAGAAGAAGGTACTTCTTGGTACATTATCCTAAAGGGATCAGTAAACGTAGTCATTTATGGCAAGGTATCTTTTCAGAAGCTTTTTTATATGATTCTTAATATTGGACTTGTAAGAGTAAACTTTGAAGAAATACAGTTTAATTTAGAGCAAAATTGCTTTGTCTGAGGAAACAGATTGAATAAAATTTTATTAAGAAATGATCCAGTGGTTTCACTGATTATACTTCCAGTTGATTGCTGTACAATTTTGGGGATCTATTACACACTTTCTGCATATAATTCAGCAGAGTTACATCAGTATCTTTAGGACAAAGTAATTTGCTGGATTTGGGTGAATTTCCAGCCTTCCATCTCACAGAGGTTTTTGCCCTATCTCTTTACCACCATAGTCTCTTGTCTCTGTGTGACTGACTTCTCTCACACGTGTCAGGCATGTCTGACAGAAGCACTGCTTTGTGACTTCTGGTTCTCAGGTTGGATGAACCCCTCCCAGTTTGATGCTAGCGCTTCATTTTAGTTAAACTAGAGACTGAAAAGCATCTCTATTAAATTTCCTGTGTATGAGAGAGATTTTTCAAGGCATAAAATAGGATTTTGGTCCTACACAACAATCACTGGGTCTTTAAAAATCCCTGCTTCTCTACTGATTGCTCATTCTGCAGCTGAGGATCCTCCAATCTGAACACTAAGCATTTCACCAAAATCCAGCACAGAGGCCCTGGTGCTAAGCCTGTTCCTAAGTAACCCATATCTAGCTACAGTTTTTACATCACTGGGTGGGCCAGCTCATCTGTTACTCTAAACTGGAGTGAATTAAGCGCTGCTGATTTACACCAACTGAGGATGTGGTGTTATATGTTATTTCCGCAAACTTGATCTTATTTTTAGGGCCTCTTTAAATAAAAACCAAACAACTCAATGACTTTCTGTCTTCAGCAATGCAAGAAGAGTCCTTCAAGCTGAATGTAATTTCAGAGAACAGGCCAATTCTTTTCTATTCTTGTCTTTCTTTAGTAATAGTAATAACCAACTATCAAGTATTGTTTCCTAGTCATTGTTTTCGCTGTTGGTTTCCTGCCAAATAGATTTGTTTTGTAAAGTCCAGTGTTTATATAGGACTTTCAATAGAATCCAAAGTAATGACGGGTTTCTGCATGTAAATGTTTTGCTCTGTGCAGGGTGTGGTATGTACTCTACACGAAGGAGATGATTTTGGCAAGTTAGCGCTTGTGAATGATGCTCCCAGGGCAGCATCCATTGTTCTGCGTGAAGACAACTGCCACTTCTTGAGAGTGGACAAGGAGGACTTCAACAGGATCCTCAGGGTAAGAGTGGGAAGGGCCACCCCAATAGCATGAGATCAGAACTTGCAGATTTTTCTAGAGTCTGCCTTATTTCTGTGGATATATTGATGTTGATAACCTTGTCTGAAGTGTCCCTAATTGCAGAACAGAGATGTAACAGTCCAGAAGATCAAGTAAAGAATATATTAATCATCTTTCCTCTTCTGCTGTTCCTAGCTCAGCCATGAAAATGGGACCACATGTCTTTTGTCTCTTACATTTCTGTGGTCTAGAATTTGCCAGTTTTTCCATCTGCTGTCCAGGATTTCTGGGTGATCTTCCATCCAAACACTGAATAAAACGAGATCACATGTTCTCCCAGATAAGTCAGTGCCAGGTACCTGAAACTTAGTAGTTTCAAGGCATAATCAAGTAACAACTGAAATAAACTACAGGTAAATACACAGATGTCTTTATCAGAGACATCTAGAAGATATTCCCAGATTAATGTTACAGTTATTCCAAAGTCCAGCTGTAATAGAGGCTGCTTCACAATCACTTACAGTACAGGAAGTCATAACCAGTATCATCCTGTATTCGAATATATACCTGCCCAGTGTTGTAGCAATAAAACCAGTCCAGACAGAGCACTGTGCTAGAAAAATGACATAGGATGGTGTTTGCCATACAAGAGGGAATGAGGATCCCACTGACACTAAGATCAGGTTGGCCATGGAGACTCCCAGCTGATTTAGCTTTCATTGATACTTCAAAGAAGATCAAAGTCTGTGGTCTTACTGATTTTCATCTGTGTTGTTTGAATGCACATTTTATTTAATTTTTTTTTCTTTTTATACTATGATCTGGTAGTAGAAAATGAAAAGTTTACTCACAGTTTAATGATCTAAGACTTACCATTTTTAAGTCCCATTTTATTTTGTTGGGTTTTTTAAAAAGAAAAGTCAGATTATAGATAATACTGTTAATATGTAAGTGAGGATAGAGATTATATTACATATGGAACATTTGGGGCTGAGGCTCTGGTTTTTGGCAAACTTTTTTTCATTGCCATAGCCAAAGATTTTTCTCATGGTTTTTCCTCCAGTCCCTCCCACGATTCTCTGTCTCTTCCCCCAGTGCCACTGCTTCCCTCTTGATTCTACCTGTGAGAAAAGCAGAAGAAAGACACATAAATACAGGGGAAAAGAACCAACCCCAGAGTCTTTTGTGTTTGAAAGTCATGCACTTTTTCAGAGTAACTAATCAGCCAAAGCGGGTGCAATTATTTTATTAAAAGTAACTTGTCTTGCAGGATGTGGAAGCAAATACAGTGAGACTCAAAGAACATGACCAAGATGTCTTGGTGTTGGAGAAGATCCCAGCAGGAAACAGAGTTTCTAATCAAGGAAATTCACAGCCTCAGCACAAGTATGTTTTCATTCAGTAGTGCAAATGTCAGACAATGATTAACCTTTTCATATGGTGTGATTATCCAAACAATAGCATATTCCCCCTTTCTATGGAAGAATGCAGTGCATATGGAGTTTTCTTTTTTTTTAATCATCAGCTGATCACATGCCCCATGCTGGATAATAGATCCATTTTCAGCAGCACACCAGCTCTATGTCTTTACACAGTAATTCTCTAAAGATCTCACTGTAAATACTTATCTCCTGTAATAGCTTCTAAATAGACTGCACACGGAGAATGCTGAAACCCTGTTAAGCTGTGTAAAAGATGTGAGGAAAATACCTTGTTTTATTGTTAAGTACAGATATTCTCATTTTGGATTTTGAGCTCTGGATTCCAATGGGAGTCTGCGAGGTCCAATTTATATACAAAACGAAGATCTCATGCAATGAAAGCCGCACAGCTTATCTTGCAGAATAGGTTTGCACTGTAATAACAATATTCATTATATTTTCTTTACTGTCTTACTGAAAGGAAAAACGTACAGTTCTGTTCGGATACTACTGTGATAAGAGCAGAGCAAGGCTATTATCATTCCAAATGTTGGTAAAACCCCTAAAGACTTTGTAAATGTGTTATTTGCAAATGGATGCACCATTTTCTTCAGAGACGCTCAAACAACTTCATCAAAATAAGCACCAGCAAGTTTTGAATGCTTTACCCTGGCCCTTACTTTTTCTCAAAGAAAGAGCGAATTTACCAGGAGATATTTTGGGTACAGATTTTATCTGATCTGGAATTTCATGTACCTATTTTATCTGCGTAACTAAATGTAAATATTTGTAAAGATCTGTGAAAGGTTGAATAAACCATTCCTTGTATTTTATATGCACATTTCACATATTTCAGAAACTGCCATTTCATCTTTCACTTGATCTATTAGAAAAACAAAGTATGCTACCAGGAAGACATGTACTCTTATGACGATTTTTTTTGTCCAAATGAAGGGAACGTGGCTGCAGCTGGTGGATTTACAGCAGCAGCTGCAATGCACAGCAACTTGGTCATAGATTTAAATCCATTTTCTTGGGTCTGAGAGATTTTTCATGCTTTCAAACGTTAAAGTTTCATTTAAACATACGTCAAACACCACCTTCCTTGCAAACTCTTTGCACCAGCATTATTTGTATTATTTAACATTTTCTTGTTCAGCATTTGATAAAAATAGCTAGCAACATTGATGGTTCCTGATGAAGTTAGGCTGTATTTTAGAGCTTACATTCCAGGAATATTTGCAGGTAAAGCTCAGAATTTCATTACTGTCAGTATTTTCTGCATGAGGTCAGCTTTTGGGTACTATGTGTGTGCCAGCAAGGGAGCTTTGGCCAATAACAATGACAAATGGACATAAGCTACACAAAAGAGGAAGCTACTTGCAAGTTCAGTCTGCTTTTCAGCAGTCAGATCACTTGGTTAACAGTGTGTTGGCAGTGTCTTTTTGTTTAAAAGGTCTTGAAGAGAGTTTTCGAAGATGACATTTCATTTGTTTCTTTTGTTAGTAAATAGAGTAGGTGGCCACCTTTATGCTTGGGGATCCAAATCAAAGTTACGTATTCTGACTTCCAGAATGTGTTACTGGAATGTGTTAGTCAAGTGTTCAGTACTTTTGAAAATCACTGTGCCCAAAAGAGAAGCCTAACGGGGACCTTTTCTAAAAAGCTTGCTGCTTTGCTGTTAATTGGGTAGCTTATGTCTCTGATGTCTTCAGATGAGCTGCCCTTTGGGCTTTGCTCCCTAAGCAGGTGCATGGCATTTTCACTAGAGAAATGGTCTGCATCCCCAAGTTGTTTCCTGAGATATCCAGTCAACCAAGAAACTCACTGAACTGTCTTCATCTTAGTCTTGGGAAAAACTTCACTTTGGGAGCAGATCCTCTCAGTCGTGGTTTGGATTCTGCTACCCCCTCTACTGAGGAGGCACAGCTCCTACATAGCTCCCCGAGCCGTGCTTTCAAACAGTGACAGTTTCGCTTCGAAGGACTAGCTCTGAAGTCCTCACTCCCAAGATCTAACTCTTTATGGGTGATCACACTCATGCAGGATGAATTCAGCAGCCCTGCAAGTCACTTCACTGTTCATTTTCACTTTCATATTCAGAGTACAGCAACCTGTGATTTCTCTGCTTCACTCACTTAGATACTTGGTTAGGATCTCTGCGAGAATGTGCACTGGCTTAACAAGTGTTTGTGTTCTTGGGACATCAATACAGTTCTTCCAAAGGGGTTGGCAGGTAAAAGAACTGTGACGGTCAGCGCTCAAAGTGCGGAGGAGCTCCCAGGAGCTCAGCTCCACCACTTATTTCTCAGCAGGAGCAGAGTATCTTCACTTCTCGGGGTTTTTTCTTTCTTTCTTTTTTTTTTTAAGTTTCATACTTTATCAGTTGGATTTCAAAAAAAAAAAAGGGGGGAAAAAAGATGCAAAGATTGAAAGAATGGAGGAAAAGATTAAAAAAAAGGAAAGAAAAAAAAAGATGACAGGACAAGTGTAGCAATATCCTATGATATTCTGCTGGTACTTAAAATCTTGCCAGTGATTTTGCATGAAGCACAAAAACCTGACTATTGCGTTAGTTCTCTCACCTTCCTAAATTTGCTCCAGGAAATGGTACAATCCAAAGTTTATCCACTTGAAAAACTTACTTACTTCAGCTATCTAAGGCGTTGCACTAATTTGAAGATACAGCGTATTTCATTATCCGCCCCCATCTTCTCAGACCAACTCCTGCCAGTGGTGCCGAAAGAAATGATTGCCTTGCTCTGACACTGATACACACCAGTTCTCATTTCATGCTCCTAGGAAGTCTGTTAAGACCCTCTAATGACTGCAGATTTATTCACAGTGGAGAAGCATTTCTGATCGCACTTCCCCAGGTTTGCAGCAGTGCAGCTCTGTAACTGTGGTGGTGTTACACTGGAGTACTTGTGTGGGGTGAGGGCTGTCTCATCTCACATGCCCTGGCTAGGGTGGAAAGGGTTACTGCTCACATTTGACAGAGAGGAAGTCAGGTAAGACTGTGAATGATCTTGTCCTAAGCCACGCAGAGATTCTGGTCAGAGCAGGTGTTTGTACACTGGCACTCACCAGTCCTGGTCTTCTTACTGCCACACAACTGTTTCTTGGTTACTGTTTTGCCTATGAGACACTAACTGCTTCCTTCCCTCCATCAGGTATATTGTGATGTCAGGAACCCCAGAGAAAATTTTAGAGCACTTTCTAGAAACTATGCGCCTTGAAGCAACCTTAAATGAAGCAACAGGTATCTACTTGACAAAGGCTGTGCTATTATTACTGCATAAGACGGTCTTGCTAGGGGAACACTGTGATGTGATGCTTTGAAAAGCAGCTCCTGGTAGTTTTTCCCAGAATAAGAACTATCCACTGCTCTGAAACAACCCCAAGAAAACCTAGGAAATCCAGAATTAAAGATAACAGTCCACTCGTCCTAGACCATTCTGTCGTGTTTGTATTTTTGGTTCAGAGTAGAACGGCAAAATCTAAGACCACTCAGTGCCAGAGCACCAGTCATGACTTCAGTTAGGCCAGGACAGAGCATGCATTACCACCCAGTGGTGATGGTACTCATAGTTCTTGTTCTGGATGTCTCTTATGGCTGTGAACTAGCTTGATACCTCCAGCCATTGCATTATGCCAGTATAAGTATTCCCAAATTTTCATATCCACATTGCATTTACAGGATCACAATTTAAATCAGTTGTCTGTGATACTTTCCCATGTGCAGAGGAAGAGCAATTGTTACTGTTACTCAAAAGAGAACTCAGCACACTATGGGCAAGTGCCAAGAATGCAGGTTACTGTTGCTGTACTTATTAGGCTGCTTTTCATTGGTGTAGAGAGAACAGGGAGTTTACATGCAGGGATACAGAGATTTGCTGAGTTGCTATTAGTATTTTACTTTTTAAAGAAAGTCAAGCACAAAAATTTCCTCCTAATTATGATAATGCAGAGACTTTTATATTAAGCTACATAATATCACTGTGGCAAGTTCTCTTTACATTGCAGGTGTCTAAGAAGTATATATTCAGAGGTGTCATTAAATCCAGTTAATCTGTTATTGACCTCATAGTATTGGAAAAACCTGTCTAGTGGTCCATGAATGGTGGAAGAATTGAAAGATGACAGAAATCCTTTTACAGTGCATGTTTTAACCACTTTTAAGTATAAAAATTACCCTTTTCACAGATACTTGTTTATCAGGATTACAAGCAGAGTGTTGTTCTTTAAGCCTGCAAGTATATAATCACAAGTTCACTATTCATAGTATGCATGTATTATACAGCTTTCTAAAATGAATTGTTTTTTTAAAGCTGTTAAAACTTTTCCCCAAAACATCCAATTACAAGGTTATACCTATATCCTAATGGGATACAAAATGTCACAATTCACAGACAAATTTTTAGGATATTGAAGCTCAGAGTGCTAGAAACTAAAATTTTTAGTTTATGCACCCCTTTAATTTAAGAGCAGTTAAAATCCACTTTGCTTTGGACATTACGGAAAGAAAAAGTCCCACCTTTCTGGAGGTGAGTTTTGTCAACCGAGAGATATTTTCATATATGAATTTCAGTGGAAGCAATGATGTAATATTACATTACACAGTTATCTCACCATGTTTCTTCTGACATCCCTTACTTTCAGGGTTTTTAAATGTTTCTCTTATCTCAGAAGTTGCACTGTAGAAATGGTACCCCAGGGTATTGTGTTTATTGTTTCTCGGTGATTCCATATCAGACTTGCGTAGTTTAAAAGTAAAATAAAGTTTATTCTCACTGCCAACCTTATTCTGATGTCTGCAGTCAGACTTTATAAATCCTTCTTGTTGTCACAGAGATAAGGCAAACTGGGATTATCACCAGCACTACCCACAGATCCTTTTAAATGATCGGAGAAAATGTCAGTCATATTGTTCATATGAGTTTGAATGTAAATGTAGCAGCTGGGATATTTGTGAATCAAAATGAAAACAGAAATTTGACTGTCCCTTACCTCTTTTAGGCCTTCTGCTCAGTGCTAGGAAATCAGCAAAGAGTTAAATTATTTGCCCTCTCCTGTGTAGCATGCACTAAATGTGCTGTCTGCTGTTGTAGTTCTCTAAAGCCAAATGAAGCAGCGCTTCTTAGGTATCCAGGTGTGGCAAGCCTGGTTCTTTTTATGCTAAGATCTCTACACTTGTAGAGAAGTATATCCAGGTGTTTCACTTTAGCACAGATGGATTGGGCTTTTTTGTAGTGCCACATTTCCCTTTGACACAGGCAAATGCCTGTTAATGTAAGTGCAATAAAATTCATTCACCCAAGGGTATAAGCTTAATATTTCTGTACTTAATGCCTACAAAGAGAGTGCAAAAAGGCCCCTTTATTAACTGCAGAGGACTAATAAGATATTTTAGCTGAAAGAAAACTCATCCTTGTGATCTCCAAACTGTTTGCAGGGGTTTAATTGACTGTTTTCATTCTTCTCTTTTCACAGATTCTGTTTTAAATGATTTTATTATGATGCACTGTGTTTTTATGCCAAATAGTCAGCTCTGCCCAGCCTTGATGGCACAATATCCTTTTGTAAGGAAGAAGTTTCATCCCTTTGACAGCTATCCCTATCAGTGACGAGACTGAAGCTTCCCTCTCCCAAGAAGTACATCCCGTTTCACGGAGGCTGTGCCCTGTGGGTAGGTTCTCACAGTAACAGCTGTCCATAGCTCAACAACTGTGACACGGTTAGTGTATACCCATGATGAGATACAGTCCTGGAGCGTGAAAACGGTATCTTTCCTGTGCTGGTTATTGTTCCAAGGGAAGGAAATGTGCTGTCCCTGCACCAGATAAGTGAAATGACATAAAAGTTTGGATTACCTTTCCTGTATCCTTTCTGTCTTTCTTGGTTTTTGCTGAACTGCAGCATCTAGTTTTTAACTGAGGTCATTATGTACTGGTGATTTCAATGGTCCACTTACAGATTACAAACTGCAAACTGCCTCAAGCAAAATGGTGCCCAAGCTAGTAGAGTAAGTAAATAGTTCCTAAATACCGTCATAGTAGTTATGAATAAAAGAATAATGATCTATAATAATAGTCTATTAATGTTAACAAGGAGTTTCAATTGCATGCGAATAGCTAGGAGATGAAAGCTTACAGGGGGTAGCTTCGAGAGCAGGATGTGACACTTGTGCTCTCTGCCTGTGAAATGTCCCATCAGTCCATTCCTGGCAGGTCATTTAGTCTGGGGAGCTGTTGGTCACTGAGAGTTTTCCTTGTGCACAGTAACTTGAAGCTATCAAATGACTGGGAACATTAAATAAACATATAATGTTTTCTGTTTTATAGAATTCTGACAGGGGTATAATAACTTCAATTCCCTATTTATTTTTTCAGAATCAGATTGGTATGAAAGTGTACTTTCCTTGAAGCTCAGTGGGGCGAGTGACATCTGGGAGAGCTAACACCCTGAAACTGCAAAACAGAGCATCGTGTCCTTGTCTGGCAAGCTTGAGAATCCATTTGTGTTACTCCTGGCAAGGACAGTAATTGTTCTGAAAACCTTTGGACCCATAAAACTGGTCTGCAGAAAATTGTTCGTACACCTGAAACAAACACATTTTCCAAAACCACATAGTTTTGGATGTCAAAAGTATTATGAAATGCTGTCGCTGACAGCTTTGAGAGGGGAAGAAAAGGACAGCATTTTTTATATTGGGTTTCTTTTTTTTCCCCTGCTTTATCTAGCTCATATTATTCAGTCAGTCCATTTGAGACTTGGACTTGTCTATCCTCAGTGTTAATAGTGTATCTCTGATCGCCAATCACTGGGAAAATCAGATGCGTAAGCAAAATGGACCTCATCGTTTATAGGTGAAAAGCTTTTCTAAAGATCAAAGTGATGGTGTCACGTCTGTGTAAGTATTTGCTCGTGACGAAGCCTGTTCTGGAGAGGAGGCTAAGATCATAGTCTTAAGGGGGTCCTGGCAGGCATCGTGCTAATTCTTTTCAGAGAGGAGGGCTGAAAGTACCTGGTATCCCACTGCTTTAGGGCTGGCTTTTCCTGGAGCTGAGTTATTGTTTGTTTGGTCCATTCTGAATATGGAAAACCAAACCGCTCTGTTGATTGTACCACTGAAATTTATCTTTAGAGCTGAAAGGTTGCTAACAAAGCTCATCTTTTTTGAGCAAAATCTCTCTACAGAAATGTTTACCGGTGCTGTTAGGCCAAGGACAGATTAGTTACGCTCAGTGAGGAAATTAAAACAGGAAGAGAAGAAAGGTGATTCAGCCAGCGACACTAGTTTTGCTCCAGCTCCCAATTTTGAATCAATACAAGTCTTATTTTCCTACACCCACTGAGGATACTATTTTAGCTGGCGACATGCAAGTATGAGTAGAGCCAGACCACCGTAGTGCTTTCAAGCACTGTGCAGAGTATAAATCATTTGGCTTTTCACTTCTTTTACAGCAGCATTTTGTCATATGTAAATTCCTTAATCCTGAAGGGAATGGACAGTTCACCGTTTTGGCTGAGTAACATCATTACTTGCTGTGGATTCAGTGTTTATACTGTGCTGGCCCTTGGTGTCCTGGTTGTGCTGGGGTTGAACTGTAGAATTCCCTTTTAAAGTTTCAGCAGAGCTGGATTTCTGAGAAAACTGCAGTGTTCACCTTAACGAACACAAGCTGATATGAAGAGTTTATCTCGGGTTTATGCTGGGACGGATACGATAAATGACCAGTATTTACATTTTTCAAGGTTTCACCTGCACCTATGGTTAGAGCTTCTTTTGCCTTTTTTTTTTTCCCCTTCTCTCTGCACAAGAGAAAGAGGAGGAAGTGAAACCCCAGGACTGTCTGGGACAGGTGACCCAGGACATGATCCGGGTGTGATCCAAGCTGACCAATACAGATGTATTCTGTCTCATAAACGTCACACTCGCTATAAATTGGGGAGTTTGCTGGGGATGACCTCTCCTCTTCTTCAGTCCTTCCACTTCTCCTTCATCCTCTTTGGCCCCTTCAGTCCCTTCTCTTCCCTTTCGTGATGGCAGCTCCTCTTCTTCCTGAGGCTCACCGCTCCCTTGTCGTGGTTTTGTTGGCGTACGCCCAGTGGCTGCTGTTTGAGACAGGAGTATAACTTGGATTGCTTTATTATCATTGTTCCTATTCTTGTTACAATTAATTGGCATAGTTATTATTTCAGTTTGGGTTGTTTTAATTATCAAATAGTCTTTATCTCAACTTGCGAGTTTTTTTACCTTAAATCTCCTGATTCCTTTCCCCATCCCACCAGGGAGAGGGCAGGGTTTGCAAATGAACTGCATGGTGTTTTAGCTGCTTGCCAGGTTAAACCACAACGCTCTTTTTCAGTGATTAAAGTCTATGGATCCTGCAATATTAAAAAATCAAATGGACACATTTTTAGAGTTACGGCTTGTCAGAGGGAGACGGCACAAAGGGACAAAGCCCAAAAGCAAACCTGAAATAGAGCAGCATCTTCAAAAGTACACTTGGTATAGTGCAAGTGTGTAAACATGTATGCATCTTTAAAGGAATATTGTCTAAATACTCATGAAGTATAAACTCCTCTTTTGCTCTCTGTAGGTGATAGTCCTTTAGCTTGTTTCCTGTTTACCATCATGCCAGCAAAATAGTTTGTGTTCTGCTGTAGGAATGGGTGCTGATTTTGCACAGCTCCTGGTATTGTTAAGTGTTCCCATGCAGGGAAGAACAGACTTCAGAATTGCTTCATGCTCGACATAATTAGAAATATGTAAATTGAACTCTAACCATGCTGATGTTGATCAATATTTTACAGTTGTTGGACACTTGGTGCAAGTGTTCATGATATTTTACTGCAGTGAAGCTGCATCCTGTAGGTCCTGTAAAAATGGGAGAACCCTTTATGGACTTTCCCTGTAGTAATGTTAATAAAAGAGCAATTAATAGAAATAAGCAGTATAAATACAGAAAAATTACTAATGCCTGTGGTGAGTCAGTTAATAAGAAAGTGAAAGTACATTAAATAGTTGCAGTGTTTGAAAGGTAGAAAAATGACTCAGTAGAATATTAAACTTGCTCCCTGAGACATTAGAGCACATAGTTTACAATACATTATTTACTTCTTAGGACCTTTTGACTTATTTACTGCTAGAAATGCACTGACATGTTTAGCTCTCTAGTAATTTTGAACTTTTCTTAATGAAATTAAAATGCAGATTGCTAAAAGTTCGTTAGTCAGGTGCGTGCCCCGGTAACCTTGGAAGCAGATCAACTCTCTGCAGGGGTCTTAGGCAGGAGGATCATTTGGAAAGTGTGAATTAATAGGTATTTTTTCCCATTATATTTTATTAGTATTAAGTATATTAGCAGTTGTTAGAGATGAGCTTCTAAATGAGAAGCTTAAACTAAATAGCTTAGAATAATTTTGGTTTCTAATTAATAGTTTAATTTTCTAATTAATAATTTTAAGTATTTTATTAGAGCAGCTGAAAGTGCGCTTTGAAAGGATGCTGGACTTCTCTCTGAGTGAAGGAAATGTCAGTAATTTGATATTAATCATTGCTGTATAATTGAGAGTGGTGTTATTCATGACAATCCAGAATCAAAAGTTTTATATCCACGAAGACAAGTCAAAGATGTCACTGCCCTCATTCTGTGCTTACTGGCTGAATGTGAACTCAGCAATCAGCTTACTGGGAAACAGTTTAAACATGTGTCATTAACCTCTGATCAGTGAGAAGTGGGCACACCAGTTGTTAGATCCTGTTTCTTCTGAGGATTCTTCTTCATTCTCAAATGGGTCAAAGGCCAGAATTATCTCCGTTTATTGCCCATTGTGCCTCTATTTTTTTATTGGTTTCTTCCTTTACTTTTGGCCTATTTGGTATTTGCATATTTTTGTAGTATTGACACTTCATCATGAAAAAGGTCAATGAAATGTTTCCCTTTTTTATTGTTTATCACCAAGTATCGTGTCCAACATGTGCTCTGTTCGATAGAGTGGAAACTTCTGATTTCCTCATATGTTAAATGAGGCTACTACAGAATGTGTTATTTTACCCCATATCTCTATAGCCAGTCTAGGCTGTAAGCTTCTGGGTCTCCCTACCATGATGAACTGAGGTTCACCTTGGGTTACGGTAACTTCTAAAAACAAAAGGAGTAATGCTGGTGGTTCATTCCAGCAGACTTCCTCACAGGTGGATGACTGGAATTGTTGATAAACACAGTGACATTTATCTTTTTCTTACGCTGTCTCCAAAGGAGAACAGGGAGAAATATCCTTCTTCCATCTCCACAGTTAATCCTCTCCTGTATTGTTCCAAGTGTCATTTCTGTTCTGCTCCCCTACAGCAGCCGTCTCTGTGGTGAGATTGTGATCGCTCCTGTGCTTTTTAGAGAATTCAGTCTCTCTGCTTTTTTGTATGAACGTGAAAGGTTCGCAAGTCTTTATGCTAGCTGAGTCAGAAATCAAAAGTATACATTGGAATGTTATGTTTGAACACCCTGAAAATGGCTTGTTGGAAGTCGGTTGTTTGTGAATTCATTTGATATTTCCTATCACTGAGCGTTTTCCTTGACACCGATGCACCTATCATGCCCAGCCTTCCCAGGGTACAGAGCAGGAGAAAATGGATTACGCCCTCAACAATAAAAGGCGAGTCATTCGGCTGGTTCTGCAGTGGGCTGCTTTATATGGAGATTTACTGCAAGAAGATGAAGCAGCAATGGCCTTTTTGGAGGTATAAAGGAATTGTTGCACTGAAAAGCACCTATCAAGCAAGATAAGCTGAAAGCCTGTTCCTGGTCTGCAGCATTCTGTTATGAGCTAAAGAGAAGCGGGTCATTTCAAAGTGCAAACTACTAACTGTGTTTTCTCGGTTTCACCTGCACACAGTATACGCACTACAACTGTGCCTGAACGGTTGTCAGCCTCTGGACCTCTGAAAATACCTGCCAGAGTTGCAGACCCTTTTCGAAGCACTGCATGGGTAGACTGCTTTATAGCAATAGATGATTTTGCTTTTTTTAGTGTATTCTTGTGAATAGTTCAGAGGCTTTACGGGTTGAACTGGAGGGCGGTTTGTGCCTGCCTGAGGTGTGCCAGGGAGGAGCTGGAAGGTTCTCACTCTGCAAAACCAAAAATCCTTTCCATTTGAATGAAAGCTGTACTTTGTCTTCAGAACCCTTCTGATCCCTTAAAATAATTTAATTCCTCAGACATTGGTTGTAAGGTCTTTGTGGTAGGTGCCATATCCTTGTATTTCTAAGATAAGATGCACTGCCAGCGTCATGTTAAGTCATCATGGTCATCATTATTATTAGATATTATCTTTAAGGATCACAATCCCATTTGTTACTGGCTGCATGGAAGTTCTTACCCCAAAGAGCTTAAAACTGATTCTAAGAAAAGAGTTAGCAGAGGCGAACAGACAGGAGCCTTAAGTACGACAGACACATGGTCCACATGGGAAAGCTTTTCATGATAGACAAGCTTTGGAGACAGACAGAATGTTTTTCTTTAGTTCAGAAGTTAAAGTTAAGAAAAATTACTAGTTGCAAGCATGTAGATCCTTTTTTTGGATCAGTCTTATGTAGGTGTGGAAGGAATAGGTTTGAGTAGGGTTTAGAGGAGGGTAATATCACAGTGGACTGGAGTAGCTGAGAGTCAACGACTCCGTAGCAAATGAACCACTAAGGACTACAACAGCAGTGGGGAAAAAGAAAAACCCCAAACTATCATGTAAATTATTTGCTAATTTTATAGTCTGTATCCTTAATAATGTGAAAATGCACGAGCAGTTTTTGCACAAGCAGTCAGTGGTTACTCGGTGAGCTAAGAGGCCTTATCAGGCCTCACTTCTGCATGTAGAACTCTTGCTTTAAATCAGCTGGAGAGAAACAAGTAGAAGTAATAGAGGGTGGGCCCAGCATGTGTTCCTTTATGCAGAGTATAATTCTTCAAATCATTAAGCTATCAGATGTCATCTCATAATCCTCTGTCCTAAGTACTGCTCATCTACCCCTGCAGGAATTTAAAGAGTATTCTGTATCATTTACAGGAATTTTACGTATCTGTATCAGATGATACTAGAATGATTGCAGCACTAAAGGAGCAACTTCCAGAGCTAGAGAAAATTGTGAAGCAAGTGTAAGAACAGTTTTTGCTTCTTTCCTTTCTCTGCCCTTTTTCTCAATAGATAGATGAAGAAAATTTATTGCTTATAACAATATTGCATATTGTTAATGGCACTTGGTCATACGAGACTGAATGTTTGCATGCAAGCTTGTTTGGATGAATGTCTGTGGCCCTCGCTTCCCACATCATTCTTGCAAACACCAAATTCTCATTAAAAGGTTGACAGAAGGAATAGGAAATTACGAACACACCATTGAAACTAAACTGGATGCTTATTTCATGCTCACATGGAGTGCATGCAGTATTTTCCCTGCCTTGGTCATAGATTAACTTTGGTGTTATCTAGTCTTCCTTTGTATATGCAAACATGAATATGATGATACTGTAGTCTGACAAGTGGTCCATGTTCTATAGGTGATTTTGGACATGAAATCTTTTGGGTAATATTTAATTCTCTCTTCTGTGTTTTACCTTTTTACAGTTCTGAAGAACCTAAAGCACCACAAAAGAAGGTAAGATCATTTATTTGTCCATTTTCTAAAGTAAAAGCTTTACCACAGCAAATCCATAAGCATCCTCTCTTTAGCAGTCATAGATATATTACAACAACACATTGAGAAATAACGTCGAACTTTAAGTGTCAAATTTTGCATTGCTACTCTTTTCCTTGTCATTGATCCACTTTACCTCATGTCTACCTCGTGTTTCTTTTCGCATTAATGTGAATCCTGATGATTCCTTTTCAGCACAAAGTTCTTCTGCAGCTGTTCAACACAAGTGATGACAGAGCACAGAAACGCCAGCCTATCAGGGGCAGTGACGAAGGTGAGTTCCTTCTCTGCAAAGTTTTCTAGAGCCACTGACATTGGCAGTAAATTTGTCTCTTCCCCTCAAAAGAAAGTCTAAGGATAAACAGAAGTAGCTACTTACAGTTTTGAAGCCTGGCCTGAAGCAAACTCTGCTTGCTTTTGCTAGCCCAACATTCCCCATCACTGATTAGAAGTGCTCCTGCTCTTTTTCCTTAGTTACTTGTGCTGTCAAACACTGTGCTTCCTCAGAGGAAGATGTAAAAACCTCTAACTTAGAGAATGAACAAAACAGGTAAGAACCAGTACAGGCAGGGCCCATGCAGGTAATAGTGGGTGCTGAAGGTCGTGTCTGAGGCTCTGTCTCCCCTACATAGTTTGAGCTAACATGTATAGCTGCTTCTTTGCAAGATAGGAGTGCAGCTAATAACCATGCCATGGATCTCTGCCCTGTGACACACAGCCTGGAAAACAAAATCTGCTGGTTTGCCCTATTGCCATTGTTTGATTCTCTGAAGACATCACGGTAAAATTTACAGCAGTGTATCAGAATATAATTTTCAGTTGCACTGGCTTTTCATATTGTCCTTTACTTCAGGCAGGTTAAAGCACTGCTATGTGAACAAAATCCTGAGCTCTGCTGATGAGATCCGTTCATTGTAAACGAAGATACATACCCCTTAAAACTCATAAATCTGAGGATGTCTTGGAAAGTGCTAGGGCCACTCTCACTATGGTTGTTTCGGTGCATCTTCATCACAGAAAATAGCTTCTGCTTCAAGTTGTTTGAACTTTGTTCAGTTCTGGGTCCCTCACTATAAGAAG